TAGGGTTTAGGGTTTAGAGGGCTGCGCATAGTTACAGCCCGGGGGTGGGAAAGTATGAGCAGAAGGGCCCGCTATAATCAGGCCTTACCATCCAATCGAAACGCACGAAGCGCTCGATCTAGCTTTTTGATGCATGACTTCAACGTTGGCAGGGAATTGAAGAGTCTGTTTGGGTGTTAGATTGCATGCCCTTGATCATAAGGGTGTTGGGGGGTAAGAGGGGGGGGGGGTTTAGACCCTAAACCCTAAATATAGTGGACGACATTTCCCAGTTCCAGCTGCGACTGGGACTGTATCCGCAAACCAGGGGGCCTTAAGCTCACACTTTCCTCTGGCAGAACAAACTGGTCAGTTTTCTTGCCTCTGCGGGAGTTCGACGTCGTGTCGAAGTCCACTCCGAATTTAGCTGCCACCCAGTGCGAAGTCAGGGGAATGCGCCCATCGACGAGATAGTTGTCTGCCTTTCCCGCCGTGGTGCCGGAGTGAAGATAGACGCCAGTGCGTCCCTCGAAGAAACGCTCACCCTTCCCTAAACCCTAAACCCTAAACCCTAAAGCTAGGATCTAAGGAAGGAAGCACGTGGCTGTCGTGCGTAGAGGATCAATCTACAGTGCCCTCAAGGACCCCCTCAAGGGCCCCTCCACCTTATCGCCCTAAAGGAGCCCTAAAGGGAGCTCTTAACTTCAATAAGGGACCCCATTCTAGTACCTCTAGCACCCTTCAAAGGGGCTCTATTCTAGAACCGTATACCACCCCCAAGGATCCTTATGACCTGAGATTCAAGGGCCCAAGACGGACTGGGGCTGTGGAGAGTTCTTGGTTTGGGGCTTTCGGGGTCCGGGAGCGTAGAGCTTACGGCTTCGGGTTTTTTTTAGGGCTTAGGGTTTCGGGTCCAGCAGTTTAGGGCTTAGGCGTCTGGGCTTGGGGGTTTCTGGTCCAGGAGTTAGGAGTTTAGGAGTCCAAAGCCCCCATCATGTTCCTTCCTCCCCTTTCTGGGCTTAGACTTTAGATTTAGGGTTTAGGGTGTAGGGTTTAGGGCAGACTGCCCTGAACCGTGAACCCTGGACGTGCCCGAAACCAACGACCGACCCCAAATGTGCAATCATGCACACACACACACACACACCCAAGAAATCACACGACCTGATCCCAAATCTAACGGGTGTCATCGTGCTAGTACCTGGAAAGGGGCTGTATTACCCATAGAAACCCAGAGAGTACAACACCCCTAATCAAGGACTATACCGTAAATCCTAGGGGGCTGAATCTTATGATATACTATGGCTTAAGGTATATTCCTGAATTAAGGGGTATTGGGCTCTCTAGCAAGGTTACTGGGCTTTTCCACGTTGGTGGAGCTGGCCGTGGACCCGGCACCCGGCAGGAATCCTTCACCCTAAACCCTAAACCGTAAACTCTAAGCTAAAATCCTTTAAATTTGGGCGGAGGGTTTAGGGTTCAGGGTTAATGCATGAAGCACGTTTCCCACGCTCACGACCGGCCTGACTGACCACGGCAGCCCATGCCTGCCAGTGTTGAGGATGCAACTTAGGCGCTTAACTTTTAGGGCAGAGGTTTTAGGGTTTAGGGTTTAGGGTTTAGGGTTTAGGGTTTAGGGCCGAAGTTACTGTCTGCACATGTCTTGTTCCAGACTCTCGTGATTCTAGTCCATGGGTCCGCTCTGGTCACCTAAGGCAATGCGTGGCCTAAAGGGTACCACAGCTCAGGAAGACAACCGCATGCTGCCTAGGCGCCGAGGTCACAGCAGTACTTCTGCTTTTCGGGCGACCACTTCGAGCTAAAATGCTCCAAGTCCTCCTTGCAGTTCCTTAGCTGCTTGTCGGAGTTTCCGTAACCACGAAAAAAATCAGAACAGCAACAGTATCGTACAACAGAACTAGCTTAATAGTAGGGGTGACAAACGGGTCATTTCGAAGGCTGAAGAGACCCAGAGAGCCCAAAACCCCGTAATTAAGGAATGTACCTTATACTATAGGGGCCTCAATATTAAGATTTAATTCCTTAATTGAGGGGTATAGGGCTCTCTGGGGAGACAAAGCATGGCAACAGAACAGCACAGATTGGATCGGCCTCTCCGACCAAAACCTGTCGGGGCACAACGGCCCTCATGTCGCAGCTGCACTTCATAGACGAACCCTAAGCCCTTAACCCTAAACCCTAAACCCTTAACCCCAAACCCTAAACCCTGAACCCTAAACCCTTAACCCTAAAACCCTAGAACCCTAAACCTCTCCCGTGTGCGTCCGACTGCTGCAGCCCGGCGCTCCGGCGCCCCCAACAAGCTGAGGCTCCAAAGATCAGTCTGGTGCTTGATCCTTAGCCGCCAGTAGAACCAGAAAAAAAAAAAACATAATATTCTTAATTCATCCCCTGGAGCTATAGTATAAGAAAAACAGACATAATTCCTAAGAGAACCAGAAAAACAATAATCTTATCAAACATAATTCCTAAGAGCAGTAGAGGATCTGGTCATGTGCCTCGTTGACACGCGCTTGGGCAGCTTTCATCACCTCGGCAGCATGCGGGGGCGGTATTCGAATCATCACGCTCATCATCGCCAGCACCATGGTCATCGTGAAAATGTTCGGTACTTCGACAATGGGTCCGAAGTCCGTGAGGGTGTAACTATCAGTGAGGGTGTAACCATCAGCGCTGGCAGCACCTCACTGGCCCTATCCTCGCAACACCATAGTATCGAGACAGAAGCTTCCTACAGCATGAGCCCTAAACCTCCGATTCGGTCTCGAGGGCCTGAAGCCCATGTAAGGTGCAGAGACTCCTAAACCCCTTGATCTATCGTTAGATTATCCTTAAATAGAATAGGAACGGTAATATGATTCAACGTAGATTCCTTAATTAAGGGGTTGGGGAGTCACCGGGGCTGTGACAACTTGGCAGGTGGAGCACTCACAGGGTTTGCCTTGTGTGATGTCACAGCTTTATGGTGCGCATCGTGTGCATCAACGGCTCTCTTGCCTCTTTCATGTGGTAGAAGCCATGTGATGCTCGGGAAGCATGAGCACAAGTATGTGCAAAAGTTAATGCAAAATGTGAGGCGGAACCATGCCCGAGCAATGATTCCACCCCCTCTACCACCCCTCCGACAAACAAAACGTCAAGACCGCCCTTCGTTGGGGCCGTGTTGACTTGGACATAGGCCGGAATTCGCTGACTATGCAAGGTGTGCGGCATGGGAGACCTTCATGGATGTGAGCATGTCAGTCAGGGTCGTCTTCAAGTCGGTGAGTTTGATGCCCAGGCCAGGGGCCTCGGTGGACTGCACCTTGTCGTTGCAGAAGGTGTGCGTCACCTCAGCACCTTCCGGCTTCTCCGGCTTCTGCAGGTTGGGAAGGCCAAGCCCCTCAATCGCCTCGTAGGCCCACCAGGCGGGCACGCCGAAGGTTGAGGACAAGATGTACCGGCCCTCACTCTTCGGGTTGGTGCAGCCGAGGATGTGGGCCTTGCCGACATCCCGAACATCGACGCAGGGAAAGCCGACCAGTCCGATGCTGCCCTCCTTGAGTAGCTTCAAGGCGAAGCCGATCGACTCGCCATCGTTGCGGTCGGTGTTGGCCGGCCCCAAGACGAAAGAAGGGCAGATGGTGACCATCTTGAATCCTTCCTTTGTGGCGATCTCCCATGCGGCCTTCTCTGCCAAGGTCTTGGACAGCAGGTATGCTCCTGCCTCGCGGGTGGAGGTCTCGTTCCAATCTGCCTCAGAAAACTTCCCATCCTCCCGCGCGATCTTGTCAGTGCCCGTGAAGCCAGAGATGGCGGCACAGCTGGACGTCAGTGCGACACACTTGATGTCTGCCTTGTGCTTCGCGACGGAACCAAGAACGTTCTTCGTCCCGTCCACTGCCGGCTTGATGAGCTTCGCCTCCACGGCCTCTGGCCCTTCCGACTCCGAGCCAAGGAAGAAGGGCGAGGCGGTGTGGAACACGTACTCGCAGCCCTGCCTGAGCTTTGAAGTCGCCAGACTCGCTAACGGCTCGCATCAGGAAACAGGAACTCGAAAACAATCAAAATAGCGTGGTAATCCTGAACCTTAAACCCCTAAACCCTACACCCCAAAAAGCATAAGAATGTGGTACTTCAGAGCCCGGCTGCACCACCGAGTCGAAGGCACCCTCGGTGAGGAGGTCCGCCTTGAAGAGCTCCAGCTTACCCGGGAGGCCCTCAGCCATCCTGGGTTAGGGCTTTAGGGTTTAGGGTTTAGGGTTTAGGGTTGAGAGGTTAGGGCTTTAGGGTTTAGGGTTTGTGACTTTATCTTTCAGGCTGTGGGCGTTTAGGGTTTAGGGTTTTAGGGTGTGTATACAGTGTGCGCGCGGCGGGTGCGTTTCTTTAGGAAATGGGGCTCGCCCACTTGTCACGCGCTTGCTCCCACCCCCATCTATTCTCAAGTGGGGCTTAGAGTTTAGGGCTCCCCCTCAAAGGGGGCTTTGTTGCTCTCTGCTTCCCTTCGCGGGTCTACATAAAACGACCATATTTCACAGCAATTCACAATTGAGATGGATTGGTGTCGGGTTGTGGGTCCTGGTGGCCTGTGCCGGCCGAAAAACACACATAGTGGTGACTGAAGGCCTGCAACGGCAGTTCAGGAAGTTGCTGGAGGCCCCAGGCGCGCCTGGGGGGTACCCCCCAAAAGCCCCGAGGCCAGACTAATACTACCTCAATGGTCGCGGGTTCAGTTTTTACGGGTGGAGTTGTATTTCGGTCCTCTCTTATTGTCCTGTTTTAGTTTTGCTGGTAGTCCTTCTTTTCCCGCCTTTGTCAACTCCCCGCGTCCAATTATTTACAGTACGTAGTGCAAATCTGCTCCCCGCTTCCTAATATTTACACAGGATGCTCGCTGCGCTTGTCTCCCCCTGTGCTGCGGTTTTCAGTCATTTACAGAGGGCTCTGGGGGCGTGTTTTATTTATTCCTAACATGGACCCTAATTTAAAGAACTACCCAAAGCAAAAAGGCTCCCGCGACCTAGCATCTTCTTGAGGTAGCCCACCTTGGACTCGTCGCTGGGGTCACGCACGGTGCCACGCACGGTCCAGCCCTCCTGCAGGCACTGGCGCACCGCCTCTCACGGTTTAGGGTTTAGGATTTAAGGAAACCCTGAACCCCAAACCCTAAA